CTCTGACTTCTTCTCCCTTCAAGAAGTCTACAACCAAGCCGGTTGTGCTGGTCCATGCCTGTAATATCAGCACTGAGGAGGGCCAGGCAGGAGAATCAGGAGTTCAAGGTCACCTTCATCTACCTGGCCAGTTTGAGACCAGCCTGGGATGCATGAGACCCTGTCTCAAAAACACAACAAAAAGAAATGAATGCCAGTGTTCATGAATAAAGTATGAGTGAGACACAACTATACCCATTCATTTGTCGTCTGTGGCTGACCTAGAGGCTACAGTGGAACAGTACAGAGACCATACCACCCCCAAAGCCAAAGGTATTTACGACAGGCCCTTTCCAGAAAAGGCCTCCTGACCCCTGGTCTACACTGCAAGGTAGAATGTTCTGTCTCTATTAGTAGTTTTTTAAAAAGCACTTTCAGAGTTGAGCACAGTGGAGGCTAATATTTACTTGGCTCCCAGTGCGGGGAGCTAGAGGTGATATACAGGTGAGTTCTTTTTAAGACTTAATGCCTACAAACTCAGACTTGAAAATGGATCAATTAAAAGGTAGTTATTTGCATAACAAAGTTTTCTTTTCATTTCATAAGGGTTTCACCGCAGGGCTCCTTTGTAGAGAGAGTCTCTATAATACATGCTAATACGATTCCATTTACAAATACTCTATTCGGAATAACTTTCTAAGAACCTTCCTATTGTGTACTCTGGGAATTAGCTGTCATCACCCCCATGTCCCCCAGCAACATAAGGTTTCCTACTCCTGAAAAGTAATTGAGCTGACCTTTGAGTGTCTCCAAGAGGGGCTTTACCTGCTTGCACTGAGTCTTAGACAGGTAGTCCCAGCCTTTAGAAGGCTGAGGCAGGGGCATTGCTTGAGCCCAGGTGTTCCAGGTCCGTCTGATCAAGCTAGCAGGACTTCAATGACCCTATCTCAACGTAATACAGCAACAGCAATGTAAAGGCCATGGCCTCCGAGTGTCTATATTATGTAGCATTAGGGGTATAATTTTACAATTTTTTCTAGCTTTTTTTTTTTTTGTACCCGAGCCCAAAATTCACAATGGTAAACTTTTCACTGTTCTCTTTTCCCACATAAATAAAGAAAAATTACATTTGTGGCTAATGTTCTGATAAATGTGTGATCAGCAATATTCATAAACGCAACCTCTCTCTCTCTCTCTCTCTCTCTCTCTCTCTCTCTCTCTCTCTCTCTCTCATTGCAAGACATTACGCTGTCTGAATTACAACACACACTGGAACAGGCATTCGGATTAGAGCTGTCCCCAGCAAAATAGGAAGTGGTATGGCTGATTCAATTTAGGAGCCGGCTTCCTCTTTTGTTGGGTCCTGAGCCTGAGCCTCACTTAGCTTTGTGCTGTTATGCAATTGCTCCTTTTAAGAGAGACATAAAATGGAAGCCTCGGCTATTCATAGCCAACTTAGGAGGAGCTGAAATTGTTCAAGAAGTTTCTTGCCTGCTGCCATTTTGATGACAACTAGTTTTCTGAACAAACCTATTTCAACCGGCTTCTAAATGGAGTTGTGTTAGAGAACTGCCTCGTGTCTTTGGTCTTCATCTTGTGGTGCTGATGTTTTAAAAGTAGACAAACGTTCCTTGTATATAGCTTGACTATTTTCCAGGGTGTTTTTTCCCCCCTACTAAAAGCAGCTTACAAGGAAAATTCAAGGGCAGAGAAGATCAGCCCAGGCATTCCTGTGTGGCGTCACCCTGTGGTGAGGCTGATCTGTGTCTCAGGGTTGCTAATGGATTATGCGTGAGAGAGCCGCAAAGGGCCTGTGGGAAGCAGGCTGGCTTTAGAGTCCCACAAATGGCATCGTCTGTGGGGTACGGCTTGAGGGGAGGCTGCTGGAGGCGGCTGGCTGCCCCTGGAGGCTGCAGCTTCTCATGCTGTGTGGCAGGTGGCATTTCAGCCATTTCTAAAGCCGGTCCCTGGCAGGGATAGCACATTGAGTCCATCTGTGGGGATGGAGGAGTCTGGAGAGGGGTCTCTCTCTTTCTCTCTCCCAGAGGTCAGGAGCACTGAAATTACAAGTAACAGCGTGAAGGCATTTTTGAATCCAGGTTGTGATCTCCCCACCCCCTTCCTTTCCTACCCTCATTCCCTTTATTGTCACTACCCAATTTTTAATCACCATCATATATATATATATAAATTTGTTTCCCAGATGTAAAATGTAGTAGTGACAGGTGCAGGTTATTAAACAAAAGTAAATAAATAAAAGCAAATCAATGTTTACTGAATAAACTATATTGATAGTTCAATTTTCTTCTTCCCTAGTGGTCCCCTGTTAAACTTTTCCAAACCAACACTAATGAATATAGAAGAGCCGTGATCTAAATGTCCATGTCTGAAGATGACACACTACTGTTCTCTTCTTCAAGAGGGATGAGAGGGGGTGCGGAGCCCCTTGACCTCAATCAAAGCTCCCCCGCTCCCCACCTTGAACGTCTCCCTCCTACCAAAGAGCAGCCAAACAGATTTTATTCCACAAATGGAAAAAGGAAGTGGTTCTCACGAGGAGCGGGCTTGTTTAATTGGGTTTTCAGAGCCAGAATTAATATTACAAGCTGGGGAGCTGTGTGATATGCTTGTACCTCTGGCTCCACCAGGCTGCCAACCTTCCCTGGGGGAAGACAGAAAAGTGACACTATTCAGTCGCAATTTTCCTTCTGTCTGGGCCTTCTCACCCAAGTGATTTACAGCTGTCAGAAACCAAGCACTCAGGCTTGATCTTCCGCAAGCTCAAGGTCACACCTAGAGCAAGCTTTCCTCACTTCTAATCTCCGTGACTTTCTAATATATTTAGTATTTGCCTCCCCTTGTTTTCATTCTGCTTATTAAGATAAATTTGCTTGGAAATGGGATCATGGTTTTCAGGACCATTAACCCGACACCTGATCTCTTGAGGTGACCAGTGTCTACTGTGGACACCATGAGGGTGACCAATAAAAGTCACATCCCCCTGTGAACCAGAGGCAAGGCTTTAATTAGGAAAGGTTTGAGAAGTAAGGTAATGGGGTGAATCAATTCAGCCAAACGCATTTAGTCTTAAGGAAGAAGGGCAGAGTCCTCCTCCCTGCTCAGTGGGTTGACCTAGGCCACCAACGTGTTAATTAGCCTCCAGCGGACAGATCCTGAAGAAAGCGTACGAAAAGGAAGGTATCTGTGTTGCCGCTGTGTGGAGACAAGTGGTGACTGGGGGGAGAGCACAGAGAGTCAAGGATGGCATTTTATTTGGCTCCTGAGTGATGCTTCCATCGCTACCCATCTTTGAAGACTGGTAATAGTCATCTCACAAATGGCCTTCGGGAAACAAAGCAGCGAAGCAGACGTCGGAAGTCAGCGTCCTGAGCCCCTCCCTATCACCCTGCCACAGTCGGCTCTAATCCGCCAAGGGCTCCCTGCTGCACCCTGCCACCTGCTGCCACCTTCCTGATGTCCCCAGATCTTGTTGAGAGGGATAAGGAGTTTCTGAGGAAACTATTTGCAGCCCCAGTTTCCTGATCACTAGGTCTGAGGGTTAACTTATTAACTCACCCAAAGGGCTTGAGAATTAGTGAAATTTTGTAAAGCATAAATGCCAAACCACAGCTTTCCAGACAGCTGCCCCGACAGTAAGCTGTCTTAGCAGAGGATCAGAGAATGTGACAGTCCTGCTGATTAAGTGCCACAGTCAGTGAGAATAGTTTGTAGGAGACAGGCGACATTGTCTTTTTTTTTCTACTTCAGGCTGCCTCAGCTGGGGAGAGATTTGTCCCATAAAATTAGGATTATCGTTGTTATCTCGCTACAGGATGCCATGTAGCCCAGGCTGGCCTCCTAGTCACTATGTAGCCAAGGCTGACCTTGAGCTTCTCATCCTCTGGCCTCTGCCTCCTGAGTGCTGGGATTACAGGAGTGTACTGCCATGGCTGGTTTATGTGGCGCTGGGGATCAAACTTCTCATGCATGCTAGACAAGTACTCCATCAAGAGAACCACCTCTCAGCCAATAAAATTACTTGAAAACATACTCATGGGGCTGAAGAGATGGCTCAATGGTTAAGAGCACTGACTGCTCTTCCAGAGGACCCACGTTCAATTCCCAGCACCCACGTGGCAGTTTACAACTATCTGTAACTCCTATTCCAGGGGATCCAATACCCTTACAGGGACATACATGCAGGCAAAACACCAATGCACATAAAATAAGAATAAATAAATCATTTAAAAACACAAACACTCTCTGGGCTGGAGAGATGGCTCAGCAGTTAAGAGTAAAAACATAAATACTCTTTAGCTGTATTGTGTATAGTATTTGCAACTGTTACTTAACTCCGTTTTACAACTTGATCCACTGAATATTAAGATTTTTCATTCTAAAGATGAGGGGATAGATTCCCAGAGGTTTAGTTACTTGGCCAAGATCATACTCACGAACACACACACACACACACACACACACACACACACACACACACCCCCCACTAGTATTCCACTCTGTTCTTTGTGACATTACCACCAGCTCCTTCAATTTTTTTTTTTTCATAAAATGTCGGATATAAGTGGACATAGTGAACAGCACATGGGTGTTATTGGGAGGAACGTTAATTCAATTCAGAAACATCAAAATGGAAATTTCTGAAATGTTCTCGGGTTACATCATGATGTTAAGATAAGCTATCGGACAGACTGGGTTTCCCGGCTCAAAAACCGAAATGCGTCCTGCTGTCAAACTGGGCAGAAGGACGCTGAGTTCCCCATTGGCCAATACTGTCTAATTCTCTTAAATGATTCAGATGTAAAAGGGAAAATGGCATCTGTCTAATTAACACCCGCCTGGTTAAATATAGCTGCCAAGGGACAGTGTTTACTGAGCAGTCTTTCCAGCCCCCTGGGCCTCAACTTCCAGTTGATAGCAAGCCTTCTGTCCTTATCATCGAGAAACAGAGATGCCCCCCAGAAGCGGCAGCCGGCCACAGCAGGCCAAGGGAGCTGGAGGGAGAGGGGCTGGGCTGTCTCTGGCTGTAGTTCCCACTCCTGGTGTCTAGAGGTTCAGAGAATGACTCTGGGAACCAGATCTGGAAGGCTGCAGCAGCTCTTGTTGCAAACATGAGCTCTGGCCCTGCACGGCCCTCTCGGCTGCCTGAGCCTAGCTCTCCAGCCTGCAGACATGCACTGGGCCACCCTCCTGCCCACCGCTGAGCCTGCCAGGCAGTACCATCTGCTTTGCAACCCGTCCCTGGTGGAAAGGCACAATGACCACACTGTTTCTCTTCCAGCTTCTTGTCAAGACATGGAAGCCGTCGCCAAGTTTGATTTCGTGGCCTCGGGTGAAGACGAACTGAGCTTTCACACTGGAGATATTCTGAAGGTAGGTGATGTGGGGTCCCAGGGGAATGGTGAGGGGCTGAGGTTCCCTGAGCCTGGTCACTGAGGCCACCTAACAACCTATACCTTTGTCTTTGAAAGAATGTGCACAGTTCTTTTTTTTTTTTTTAAACTCTTAGTGTTGTCTTTAAAAGAGAGTTTCAAAACCAGATGTGAGAACATGCCTCTAATCCTGGCACTCAGGAGGTGGAGGCAGGAGGAAGCTTTGGCTACCTGGTGAGTTTGAAGTCAGTCTGGGCTCCATGAGACCCTATCTCAAAACAAAAACAAGACAGAGAGAGGAGAGAGAGAGAAGGAAAAGGAGAGGGATAGAAAGTCTCAAAGTTTCTGTCTAGGGTCACCTCCCGACCACCCATGTGTAGACAAAGCTTTTTAGCCAATGCCAAGCCTTACCCCATTAGTACTGCCTGGAAGACACACAGAGGGACAAGGGAGACATGTGTAGGGCCTTTGCTATAGAGGACACAAGTGTTACGTCCTTCATCACGATAGCATCCCAGATTCCTGCTGGGTAAACGGAAGAGTCATTGTGTATATGTTCATGTGTGTATGTATGCAGGTGGACATGCATACACGTACATGTGCACATGTATATGCACGCCCGTGCACATGTGTACATATAAGTGTAGAATCCAGGAGTTGACATCAGGTGTCTTCTCCCTTTGCTCTCCACCTTTTTTGGTGGGGAGGGATGGTTTTGAGACAGGGTTTCTCTGTGTAATTTTGTGTAATTTGCCTGTCCTGGACCTCGCTCTCTAAACCAGGCTGGCCTCGAACTCACAGAGATCCGCCTGGCTCTGCCTCCCAAGGGCTGGGATTAAAGGCGTGTGCCACCACCACCCGGCTTCCACCTTAATTTTTTTTTGAAACAGGATGTCTCACTGAACCTGGAGCTCACTGATCCGGCTTAGGCAGGCTGATCGGCGAGCTCCAGGGATCCACCTGCCGCTACCTCCCCTGTGCTGGGATTGTGGACACACACATCTGCACCCAGATTTTTGGGTGGGTCCTCGAGATCTGAACTTAGGACCTTATGCTTGCATGGTGGGCTATTTACTGCCTGAATCCTCTTCCAGCCCCAGAGCAACCATTCTTAAGAAGTCTTGCTTTGAGCACAGCCCGATGCAGTTTCATGAAAAGATAAGTCCACATCCCCACCAAGCATTTCCTTCTGGGCACCCATGTGCTAGACACCGGGTTAGGTGGTATAAGTCACCCTCCTCCCCCCGCCATGCCTGTGGCGTGGAGTGGGCAACACAAGCCTCTGCTGGGCTGTCGTAGATGCTGTCAGCTCAGTGCTCAGGAACACGGGTGGGAAACATGAGAGTCTACCTCGAAGTAGTGTGGAAGAATGGCAGTAAGTATGAACATCAGGAGCTATCAAACTCACAGAAAGGCAAGGCCAGGCTCCACACGAAAAGGGTGCAGGTGGAGGCAGCCAGCGAGAGGCAGCAGGCCTGAGGTGGCTCAACAGAGGCCACGCACACCCAGCCACTAAGAGGCTCCTTAACAATTGTTTACAAGCCCTGCTTGAGCTGTAGCGGCCACTTGCAGAGCGGAAGTGGCCTTGGGCTTCTTCCGCATCTCAGGTGTGCATCAACCTACTCCCTTGTGATTCACAAGAGAATGTAAGCCTGTCCACAGGACAGGAGCCTGAGGTGGCCGCGGGCCCCTGTCTGACCTCAGGGCACCCTCCAAGAGCATCCCTCAGCTCTTGTCCTCAGCTGCCCAGGTGGCCCTCTCGCGTGTCTGCCCGTCACCGAGTCCACTGTTGTATCTTGCCCCAGAGAATTATGGGCAATCCGAAGGCCCTTGTGGAGGTGTTAGAGGACAGCTTGGAAAGGGTCCACAGAGCACCTGCGTGCAGAATAGAATGGCTCCAGTTGTCGCTTAAGCCCCCCACCCCCAGGGTGTACCCTTCTAACTGCTTTCGGCTTGGAAGAGCTAGCGATGTGGTTGACCCCACAGTGTCCCAAGTTTGACATTTTATAAGCCAAAATATGTCCAGGCTACTGATGGAGGAAAAGGTGGCTTTCACTGGAGTCACGGAGACATTGGTCATGTGATGAAAAGTCCCTCCTCCCTCCCTCCTCTATGGGGCATTGTGACCATTCAGATGCCAGCCACGATGGAGCGCCCACGGCTCCCGCTAGCTCCCGTCCTTATGTTGATCACACACAGAACTCAAGGCCTTGCTCAAGCTCCCCGTTCATTCTCCTCTGTTACACACAGGAGTGGAAGGGAAAAAAAACGAGCAACGGAACGTTCCCTGGGCTGTGCTTCCCAGCCTGACTCCTTATCGATTCTCTCTCCTCTGTTGCCCAGATGGAAACAGTTCTCCGCACTGCATGCCCTCCACTTCCTCTCTTGGCTCCAAGGCCCTCTGAAGTCAGCCCTTTACTTCGCGTCCTGGCTAGCTTCCTGTTGCGGTCATAAACACCATGACCAAAAGCAACTTGGGGAGGAAAGGGTTTATTTGGCTTACGCTTACATATCAAAGTCCATCACTGAGGGAAACCAGGGCCACAGCTCCAGGCAGGAACTGAAACCATGGAGACCATGGAGGAATGCTGCTTTCTGATTCATGGCTTACTCAGCTACCTTTGTTATATAACCCACCTGCCCAGGGATGGCACCGCCCACAGTGGGCTGGATCCCCCTACACACACACACACACACACACACACACACACACACACACACACACACACACACACACACACACACATCAATCATTAATCAAGAAAATGCCCCCACAGACTTGCCTATGGGCCAATCTGATGGAGACATTTTCTCAATTTACATTCCCTCTTCCCAGATGACTCCAACTTGTGCCAAGTTAACAAAAAAACTACCCAGCACATGCTGCAACCTCCTTCATGTGACTAGAATGTTCTTCCAAGACTCCTATGGAATGAGACTCTACTGGCTGCCCCTCTCCTGGAGCTCATTCCCTTGCTCAGTAGCACTCCTGTCTCTCCCCCTCCCTCTCTCCCTCCTCCCTCCCTCCTTTCTTCCCTCCCTTTCCTCTCCTGAGTTCTCCTATGGGTCTTGTTTGTGAGCACTCCTGTGCTCTCTCTAAGCAGATATATTCACCTCCCCGAAGCTCTGCCCTTGGCCTTCTGATTCTCCTCCTTTCTTTGGAGCACCTCACCCCCTTTCTCTGGCTCTATACTAAAGATCCTCCAGTCTGCACCTTGTTCCCTCACTAACCTCTGCCTTGAACCCCAGAACCAGTTTTCTGCTAAATGTTACCCCGTAGACTCCAGCCCTTGACACCAGGCTCACACAACCCCCTTTACCCACCCCACCCTAACTTCCATCCAAGCTAGTCCTCGCCACCAGCTGAGTTCCTGTTGCAAGCCAGGACTGGCACAGGGGCTGTGTGTACCCTGTAGCATCTCAGCAAACCCAGGAGGTTGCTTTCTCCACTCTGTAAATGTAAAGCCACATGTCAAGATCACACAGGTAGACAGTGACTGCGCCCGGGGCCTGGGTGGAGCTCTGTCTTTCCTGTACACTATCTGTTCTAAATGCATTTCTTTCTCCAAGTCCCCCAAGGGAGGCTCTTCTCCATTAGGGGGAATAATGTGTGATGCTGGAAAAAGGAACACAGGTTTTGCAACCATATGAATATGGATTCAATTCCCAGCCTGTGAGCTGTATGGCTCGGGCCTCGGCCCCGTGTCCACCTCTGTCTGTGGAGGCGTTACCTATCCTGCAGAGTCCAGGAAAGTCATTAAAGGTAACGGCCCTGGCCCAGAGCAGAGACTGAGCAGATGATGGCCATATTATCACCAGAGCATGCCTTCCTGCTCTCTCTGCCCTGCTCAGACGATCACAGCCCCCTGACTGACCTCACTGCCTCCTGCCCCTTCCTCATTCAATCACTCTTCATACTGGTCCCAGAAGGACTTTTCTAGAAGACAAGTCAGATCATATCATTCCTTGCTCAAAAGTACTCAGGGTTCCTATTAACAATTGATTGAAATCTAAACCATTTGACTCCAACGCACTTTCCAGGCTCATCACGCTCGCACACAGGCACACCTGTGTGCACACATACACATGGCACATATCTTTGAGGACACACTCTCCCTGCCGCCCTCTCCCTCCCAGTATACATCATCCTTTCTCAGGCTCCGCCTCATTCTCCAAGTGTCCTTTTATACATGACCATCTTTCCAGAGACCCCCTCACTGATCCTCTCCCTTCCTTACTACCCCTGTTCCAAGCAAAGCCAACCCCTCTCCTGGCCTCAGGCTGTACTTCCAGGGCCATCTTACACCATCACCGTTACTTACCACATGTGATCTTAGTTGTCCATTTCCCTGTTAGCTACCCCACTAGCCAAAGTTTTATAGGGATGGGCCACACATACTTTAGCATCTCTAGGAGCAGAAAGTTACTTCTTACTAATATTTGGTGAGTGAGTGAATGAATGAATGAATGAATGAATGGTGGGTTCTTCCATTGGTGAGCTCCCTGAGAGCAGAAAGACTCCAGCTCAGCTCTGTGCCTTCTTAGCATCTGGCACAAGTCACATCCCCAAATAGGGACCCAGTGTACATGTCTCGACCTGGGAAATGGCATCTAAGCGGCCATTTAGGATTCCATCAGAAAGTCAACCCCGCCCACCTTTTCACATTCTGCACGTTGCAGCTGTAGAAGACGAAACACAGAGAGCCTGTGACAGAACTCTGGTTCTGAATGGCGGCCATTAGTGACCATGTCAATCACTCCCATCCTCAGGCAGAAAACACACCACACCCAGGGATTCCTGCAAACCATTTCAAGGGCAGTTCTGGAGTGCCCTAGAAACTCACTTTGAGGTGCTCAAGTTTCTTGATTGGCCTTCAGTGCTTAAGATTAAACAGACTTTTTCATTAGAGAAGTGCAAAGAAGTGTTGGGCTGGCTTAGCCGCCAGCGACTCTCTCCAGCTTATTCTCTGCATTCCAGCTAAAACAATAGGTGCTTACTAGGTGCTGATCCTCATGGGATGGTAGACAAGATGGTGGATGAGGAACCTCTGCCAAACGGCTAGATCCATGTTTGCTGGGGAGAAAAACAGTTGGAAAGGACATTGGGAATCACATTTTTCGCGTTCGTACCTGTAGCTACACAGGGCACAGATCTACATTGGAATTTGCCAGCAGCTTTGAAAATTGGCTTTTGACCCAGTTTGTTCCTACCTGTTTCTGTAATGTGTCTAAGTCGACCTCATTACTTCTAAGACTAAGAGAGGCCTAAAACCACCGGCTTAATCCCACACAATCAACTTCTCGGGGCTGCAGCTTTCCACTGTGCCTCTAAGAGCTGTACTTCCATCCAATTTTACATTTTTCCCCAGCTGTACTTTTGGCCTTTCTCTTCCCACATCTAGCTGATGCTCAGGCCATGTAACCTAGAAAATTATTCTCTTAGGGAACATTTTAAGAAAGACGATACAGCAATTTAAGTGTAGAACTTCGTGTGTTTGGGCTGAGCTCCTTGCTCAGGTTTACATGATGGTTACAAGAGATAGGGGGAACTGAATTGATGGAGAGATGAGAACAGGAAGCTTTGGGGCTCAGGGCCCACAGCAGCAGGAGGAAGCCACCACCCCTCAAAAAAAAAAAAAGAAAAGAAAAAAAACTTTTCTTTGCAGAAAATGAGATTTAAAAAAAAAAAACAGTTCTATACTCCCATAAAATGCCTGGAAATTCACCTCTCTGGAAACACAATCTCAGGTAGATCAAGCCCCAGGTGGTGAAGACAAATGGCTGGCTGGCTAGCTGGCTGTCGGGGACAATCTTTAGTTTCTAGAGGAGGTAGATGAGTACTAGGCATGATTACTCAGATTGCAGCTTGTTTCGGGTCAGAGAACGAAGTACAGAGTGTGATTCGTACTGTGATAAGCCAATTTCCAAATGGCGTCTTTCACCTCACTCCTGCTCGCTTTGGATTTGACATTGGTTACCCGGGCCAAACCACACACACACACACACACACACACACACACACACACACACACACACACACACACACACACACACAGCCCCCGCCCCCACCCCTGGTCCCCTGTGGTAGGAGAAACGAATTCCAAAGCTGACAGCAGTGCATGGAGGGAAATGTTCTTGAGCTTTTTGAGTGGATAGAAGATGCCACTGCTGAGTTGCCTCGCCTTCCCCCTGACCTAGATCGTGTGCTTCCCCACCCCCTCGCTCCCCTCGGCATACACAGACCCACACCCATCCTCAGCAAAGCCATTTGATGTTAGAAAATTTTCTGTTCTCAGCAATTCTTGAGCACAAATATGGGACACGCTTTTACTGCTACAGAACAAATGATTACAGCCCAAACATTCATGTACAATGCTTGCAAGGATTGCAAACCCTTCCATGTCTTTCAGAACTGGAGTCTTCGCTCATAAAGATACTGCACTGAGCAGAATTATATATATATGTTTTGTTTTGTTTTTTTTAAAGAATATATACCAGCTGGGCAGTGATGACACATAACTTTAATCCCAGCACTCAGGAGGTAGAGGCAGGAGGATGTCTGTGAGTTCAAGGCCAGCCTGGTCTACAGAGTGAGTTCCAGGACAGCCAGAGCTACACAGAAAAACGCTGTTTTGAAACAAACAAACAAACAACAACAATAAGAGAATATATACCTTCAGAAGGGTGTTTCTGTGCCAGAGCTCTGTCTGTCCTCACCTCAGCTCTGTGAGGCTCGAGTGGGTTGTTATTGGCCCCACTTTTCAAATGGCTAATTGATGTGTCCTGTGTCACACAGCTAGTGACAGAGCTCAAACCAGAAACCAGGTCTCCTTGTTCCAACCCTGATGGCACGGTCCCTTTTCTTCAACCTTAGCAGTGATATTAGAAGTAATGCCAGACATGATGGTGCACACTTTTAATCCCAGCTCTTGGGAAGCAAAGGCAAGCTGATCTCCATGAGTTCAAGACCAGCCTGGTCTCCATAGTAAATTCCAGGGCATCCAGGGCTACACAGTGAGGCCCTGTCTGAAAAGAGAAAAATAAAATAAAATAAATAGCTCCTAGGCCTGGGGGTGTGGCTCGGCTGGTAGGGAGCTCACCTAGTATGCAGGGAGCTGGAGACTATTCCCAGCACAGCGTAAGCTGGGTGTGGTGATATTTGCCTATAATCTCAGAACTCCGAGGATAGAGGCAGGAAGATTAGAAATTCAAGACCACCCTCAGCTGCACAGGGATTTGGAGGTCAGCCTAGGCTATATGAAACCCTGTCAATGGAAGGGAGGGAGGGAGGGAGGGAGGGAGGGAGGGAGGATTGGCTATTGCTGTGGGAGAGAGAAATCCGAGGGACCCAGGGCTTCCACTCCTACCCTTCTGGATGACTCTTGGAAACCCCAGTCACCGGCCCCCGGCTCTCTCCTACGTCCAACACATACATCCACAGCTCACTGAGTTTTTCTTCTCAGTTGAAGAATTCAACTGGAATTCATCCGCTACAAGCTGAAGCCCACGAGTCCCTCCTGCTCCTCCTTCTCCTCTCTATTTCAGTAAAGACATCACCACCCACTCAGTCTCCCAAGCTAGAAATCCAAAGTTTTCCCAGAATCCCCTTCTCCCTCAGCTACCCCAAATGGTTACAGAATCCTGCCTGATTTTACTTCCTCGAATCCTCCGAAATAGGTCCTTGCCTCTTCTTAGCTCAGACCCCATTATCCCTTGCCCGGTGGGCAACACCCATCTTCCTTCTGTTCCTCCCCGGGTTTTACCCCACCCCCAGCTCATCTTCAAAGCTCCTCTTCAACTCTCATTCTTACTGTCATTTCCTGGCTTAGAATCTTTTGGGGGTTCTCTATAAATCTGAAGGTAAAAATCCAGCATCATTAACCACAAGGCCCTGTACCTCTAACTTCCCTAGTTAAACCCCAGCTAGAATGGAGACACTGAACTCCAAGAACGCACCACAAAAGTGGGTCCTCAGTCATCCCATTTAACCCAATTAGCTCACTGCCTCGGCTGGAGAGGTCTCCAGGCAGTCTTCCCCATCTTCCCTCTGCTTCTCCACCTACCCTAGCATCTCCACCCATGAAACCGCGTTCAGCTCCGGGAAAGAGAAACAAGGACCTAAGCAATATCAAAGAGCTGGTATTCCTCCAAGCCCGGAAATGGGGGAGGGGCCATTGGAAAGAGATTCCAGTGACTTGGTGGCAACAGGTTTCCCAGTCTCTTATGCGGCCGGCCACCCTTAGGTCGAGTCGTTGTGCTGGTCTAGGCCCACATCCTTTAGAAACATTCTCAGTGGAGATAGCAAATACTTTCAAGGGTGTCCCATTTTTTGAATACACATACAGTCATGTCTGCTGAGTAGTGTGAGCGACCAAGGCAGGTGACCACATGTGGGTGGCAGTCGAGGTGGGTCCTGTAGTAACGAGATGGAACTCTTGGTTTTGTTTAGGATCTGACTCCAAGTTTATAGAGGGCATCCCAAAAGTGTCTCTGTAGAGAGCACTCCCCTCTCCCCCACCCCCTCACACTCAAGTTCTCACTCTGTGGACTGGAACTTGCTACAACATAGCTCAGGCTGGCCTCCAACTGATGGAAATCCTCCTGCCTCACTTTCCTGAATGCTGAGATAACAGACATGAGACGCCATACCTGTACTATCATCCCAGGCACCTTGAATCCTGTCCCAATTTTCAAAATTCAAAATAGGAATATAAACATTATAGTTTAGAAAGCTGGTCTCGATTAGATATCTAAGTTTTAATCTCCTTGTTTAAAAATAAATTTTTAGTCAGGCATGGTGGTCTACCTCTATAATCCTAGTACTTGGAAAGTAGAAGCAGGAAGATCAAGAGTTCAAAGCCAGCTGGGTGGTGGTGTCACACACCTTTAATCCCAGCACTTAGGAGGCAGAGCCAGGCGGATCTCTGTGAGTTCGAGGCCAGCCTGGTCTACAGAGTGAGATCCAGGACAGGCACCAAAACTACACAGAGAAACCCTGCCTTGAAAAAAAAATTAGCTAATGAATTAGAGGCTGACAAGATAGCTCAGTGAGTGACTTTGTTCCCACAAGGTGGAAGGAGAGGACCACGAGGACTTGACCTCTGACCTCCAGTAGACATGCTGTGGCACATCTGTCCACATGCCCAGATGCAGGCACATAAACAAATAAGTGTGAAAAACTGAAATCGTAAGAAAGGATTCAGGGCATTGTCTGAGTGCTAGATCTGAGCTATGATGGGGTGACGTGAGTTGGTGGCCTCCAGTGGAGAAAAAGAGTGGTGTAAAAAGCAGTCACACACCATCACACATCAGAGACTGAACCCGTGGTGCCCCCCGCCTTCCCCACTAAGCCCTAGAGCTGATGTCCCATCCGGGTCCTTAGGCTTATTATTTCCTCTTTGCCCTTCAGCCCCCTCCTGCCGCTTGGTGTCTCTCACGGGAGTCCTTGTCCTTTGTTCTCTCCCCCTAGATACTGAGCAACCAAGAGGAGTGGCTGAAGGCGGAGCTCCGAAGCCAAGAAGGATATGTGCCTAAGAATTTTATAGATATTGAGTTTCCTGAGTAAGTATTTCCAGCCTGCCAAGATGGGTCTACCCACACATGCTCCCCTTACTTTTTCAGTCCTCACTAAAATTATCCATGCATACCCAAGGAACTGTCAGAAATGGCTGCCTCTGGAGAGCTCCCTCTCCAGCCTCCAGAACCTCACAGCGGAAGGCCAGGGTGGGAGGTAGATTTATTTGCATGGCATCACATTCCCTTCTGAAGTTTACACCGCGTGCATGGATCGCCTATTTAAAATTTTTTTTATATATATATAAAAAATGAGTTTGTGAGTTGAAAATCACCTATAATGAATGCAGCTGCAGAATCTCCAAGAATTCCAAAGGGGGCACTGTTGGACATCCCATTTCAAAAGCCATTCCCGAACAGCTCCTCTCCACGATGGCCTAACATTGCGTTCCACCCTAAGCAGGGATCCCAAACTGTCTCCTCTTGCTCACCCCAGTCAGAGAGAGGGGACGGGGAAGGGAAATTCCCCCCAGAAAGAGGAAGTGAAACACTGAGATTGGGCTCTGTTTGTCTCAAGAATTGACCACAAGGGTTAGATAGAAATCTAATCTTGTCTCAGAGCCAGGGTCTAGCCCCAAGAGTCTAGGCTTTATAAAAAAGAAAAAAAAATCATAGTCATGTTGATGACTCTAATGAGGGGCATTGGTGTCACTTTCCATGACCCAGAAGAGACCATTGAACCACAAGGCTGACCACTGACCTCCAATGGCCCCTTAGTGGCCCTGTGATCTAGGAGGGGGGAGGCCACTTCATGCCAGTCACTCTCCCACCTGTCTCTCAGCTCTGCCACCATCCTCCCAGGTGTGTGGGAGACAGGGAAAGCACCAGAAGAGGAGCTCCTTGGTTCCTCTCCCTCCCTTGGGCCCATTTCCACAGGACCAGCACCTCCCGCAACCACATTCAGATGCAGCTGTCAGTGCCTCCAGCAAGCACACTGCTGATGGAGCCGTCTCCCCTGACCATTTTAAATGACTTTCCTCCCCAGCACCCTATCCACATTGTTTCCATTTTCTCTCCTGGCTCACAGTCCCCTGGCATGCCATTTTGATTATTCTGTTGTTTATCCCATGTCTCCTGAGCCACCCAGAATGTCAGTTCCCTGAGAGTGCCATTGCCTGTCTGTTCTGTTCACCACTATTTTCCTAGCACCAGGAAAACGGTCCCACGAGTTCAGAGATGGTCAATAAAAGCTGTCAGACCCAGCCCAGGTCGGAGCCATTTGTAATCCCAGCACTTGCAGTTAGCAGAAGGAAAATCAGAAGTTCAAAGCCAGCCTATAATATATAACAAGTTTGAAGTCAGTCTGGGCTACATGAAACCCTATCTCAAAAAATAACCCCCAAATGATAGGTTGAGTGTGGTGGTATACACCATTGATTCCAGGCACTTGAAAGGCAGAGGCAGGCAGAGTTCTGTGAGTTCGCAGCCCATCTAATCCACACAGTGAATTCCAGGATATCCGGGGTTGTATAGAGATACCCTATTTCAAAGTAATTAATTAACTACATCAAAAAAAATAATAATAAATAAGAAGTGTTAAATAGCTGGGCAGTGGTGGCGCATGCCTTTAATCCCAGCACTTGGGAGGCAGAGGCTGGTGGATCTCTGTGAGTTCAAGGCCAGCTTGGTCTACAGAGTGAGTTCCAGGACAGCTAGGACTACACAGAGAAACCCTGTCTCGAAAAACCAAAAAAAAAAAGTCAATAAATGAAAGAGTAGCTTTCGAATAACAAGGAAGCTTGAACCCCTGGCCCCCTGTGTCTGATACAAAATGTATGAAAAATTTTGGAAAGCTTAAAAAAAAAAAAAAGCCCATGCTCAATTCCAGTTAGAGGGTGTAGCTTTTTGAAACATGCCTGCCTGCCTGTTGCCTCTGCGGAAAGCTTTCCTTCGAGCCGTGGCTGCTGTGGAGCACACTGACCTCCTCCTCCTCCTGTCCCTGGTGTTTTCTACATGTGGTCATCAGTTGTTCACCCCTGAAGAGATGTGAGACACCAGCAACCCCAGGCTCCAAGCCCTCCGGGCACCACCAACCTCCTGCTGTCACCCAGGTCTGGAGGAAGAGTGTCCCTCCCGTTATCTGAGTCTGGAGTCGAGGATCTCAAATTCTAGAAAGCACAAGGGAGTCGGAAAGCTGAGGCCTGCCATGCATGTGTCCTAAAGGGACTTGGGCATTGATTAGCCTTCAGATGGCAGCAATTAGAGCAGCCACCTAGAAGCAGTGTGATGGGGTCCCACCGCTGCCGGCCGTGAGGGAAACCCTCGTTCTAGGGTGAAGAGGAGTGTGTGGTTTCCTGCCCCAAGCTGCAGCCGCTGTTCCCCTTACCTGGTGTGTTTGATTCTTTTGAACATTCCAGCCACTGCCACCCTGACTGTGCTCTGGGAAATTTGGTTTCTCTCCCATTTCTGTTTTCTCAGCGAAGATGTTTCCAGTCTGGATTTTTGTAGAGGGTGACCTCAGAGCACAGGGAATAGCTCACAAAAGAACTGAAGAAGCTGGCTGGAAATGCTGCTGTTAGACTTTCTCATCTCCAAGTGTATGCAAGATTTCCTGGACACCTGGCAGTCTCTGCTGGACATGGCCATCCAAGTCCCTGAGGCTCCCACGTTAGCCCAAAGAGTCTGACCCCTGAGCTGGAACTGTCCTGAATGCTCTTGGGGAAATGTGCCATGCCACTGGCATCTCAGGAAGGGCATGGTGCCCAGGCCTTGTCTACCAGTTTGACTGGGAGCCCTGCCTCCATGCCTGCAGCAGCCCTTTTCTATCCCATAATTCCTCTCCTCTGATGTCCCTTCCTAGTGGCAGGAGGCCGCATCCCGCTGGGAGTCACTCCCACAAGGCCCCATTTTTGGTGCAGCAGGATTCAAGTTTCACAAGCTAGAGAGAAATTTCTGGAGAGAAGGCACAAGGAGAGCAAGTCCAGAGGAGTGGTCCATTGCTTCCCTGAAAGCTGACGAGTGCCATCACTAAGTTTTAAAATGCATGCCCCATACGCCGACTCAGGGCCCCTGGCCTCTGCCCTTGAGTCACATCTTTTCCACGTCCCTTCTCCCTCCCCATCACCATCATGTGTCTCAAAGAACTCTTTTGTCCTCTCACTACAGGTGGTTCCATGAAGGCCTCTCTCGACACCAAGCAGAGAACTTACTCATGAGCAAGGAAATTGGATTCTTCATCATCAGGGCCAGTCAGAGCTCCCCAGGAGACTTCTCCATTTCTGTCAGGTACTGGCTACTCCCAACCCCCCCTTGACCCTTCTCAGTCTGCCACAGCTCAAGCTGGTAGGTTACCCAATGATAGAGCATGGTGGCATCTCTTTAACTATATTACTATTTCCTCCCCAAAACATGCGTCCTCAACTCGTCCATATATTGATTTCTGCTCAAAATGATGCACGTAGCAGTGGTACACACCTTTAATCACAGCACTTGGGAGGCAGAGGCAGGCTGATCTCTGTAAGTTCAAGGCCAGCCTGATCTACAGAGTGAGTTCCAGAACAGCCAGGGATATTAAGAACCAGTTGGAGAGGGGGGGGAAAGGTGTGTATTTATCTGCTTCCCTGTCTAGCCCAGATACTTCTGGAAAGCAAGTTGATCTGCTTTATGTGTGTGCTCTGAACAGAGCACACCCTGTAGACATCAAGGGACATCTGTGGAAGGAGGAAAGGGAGCTTCCACTTAACTGTGTCCGTCTGGAAGTTTGAACCTCAGCCTTTTCTGTTCTGTCAATAGAGGGCTGAAGAAAGGCAAGAGAAAAGCAATTCCCCAAGCCGCTGCTGTGAGAAGCTGCCGGACACAGAGCCAGGCTGCTTCCACGCAGCAAGGTTCTGACAAAGCCAAGCTGAGAAGAGCAGGGTAAAGTTGAGGGAAGCCTCTGGGGAAGGGGATCAGAAAGACCTTTGACCCTGTAACTCTTGTGCTGCATCTTATAGGAAGTGACTCAGTCCAGGCAGGGACATGACACAGACCTAAACTGAGAAACCCCAGATCTGAATACAGCGTGTGTGGTCAGCATGTCAAAGACTGCAAGCCAGACTTGGTGACCGCATAACTAAAGTGCATGAAATGCAGCTTATAGCAGAGGAGGAAGGAGCCCCGAGCCTGCACAGGACACACCTCCTGCCCGGGGATTTGATAGGCAGCGCTGCCCTGCACTCGTTGATAGATTTCAAAAGGTGTGAAGCTTTATTGCTTCCTGTGAAGAAATCTAATCTCTTGTGATAAACTGTAGCTGCTTTGTTATTTAGAAAGAAAGGATCTTCAAAAACGGAGGTAGGAAGGACTAATAAATGATGGACCAGCCATCTAGAGGCATGTGCGCCGCAAGCGTGCTTACAAATACCTTGGGCTCCTTAACATCAGCAAACTTGACAGCTTGCTAAAATGTAAAGAACATATTTACTGTGTGTGCATGTGTATGTACGTGGCTGCTGAGGGGTATATATGCACATATGGAGGTCAGAAGTTTGGGGAATTGAGGATCTCCTTCAACCATGTGGGTCTCAGGGACTGAACTCAGGGCATCAAGCTTGGTGGTAGGCACCTTTACCCGCTGTCTTAGTCACTGTTCTATTGCTGTGAAGAGATACCATGACCAAGGCAACTCTTATAAAAGGAAGCAGTTCATTGAAGCTGGCTTACAGTTTCAGAAGTTTAGTCCATTATCATCATGGCAGGAAACAAGGCAGCATACAGGCAGACATGGTGCTGGAGAAGTAGTTGAGAGCTACATCCTGATCTGTAGGCAGAGAGAGAGAGACTGGGCTTGGCATGGGCTTTCGAAACTTCAAAGCCCACCTCCAGTGACACACTTCCTCCAACAAGGCCATGCTTCCTAATCTTATCAAATAATGCCACTCACTGGTGGCTAAGCATGCAAATATATGAGCCTATGGGGGCCATTCTTGTTCAAACCACCACACCCACTGAGCCATGTCACTAGCCCCTGTACTCTTAATTCTCTTTAACTAAAACGTCTTCATATCTTAGGCAATCATAAATATTAGCTCAAGCCAATATTACTTAATTTCAAATTCTAAACCCATTGGATCTTCATTGATGAAATTTTGCCCTGTTAATAAACCTTATCAATCAAACCCATTTTATTTTTATTTTTTCCTTTTTCTGTAAAATTATGTGTGTACGGGTAGGTGTTTTGTCAAGCAGCAACATGATGTCCGTTGTGATTGCTGGGAGGGACTGAGTGAAGAATAGTTATTATACACAAGAAATACTTCCTCCTCTATGAGTTGAGATACCAGATCTGGAAGAAGAGCCATTATTAATGTTCAAATTCCTGAGGAAGATCAGCAGTGATGGCCATGTGTCCGTTTCCACCCTGATTCAGTTGGATAGGAAGTGACTTACTTACCCTTGGTTATGAGTAGAACCCAAATAAATGATGAGAATAAAGGCCCAAAATTCTCGTTCCCTCCAAACACAGACCCCTAAATTCATCCTTAAGAAGCCTCCACTAACTTTCAAATGAATCTCTACTCTCCAAAGCCCTTTAACTCTTGATTTTTCTGCTGCAAGTGGCCACTGATAGCACTAATACTCACGCACCTGCAACATGCAAATACAGACCTGTTTGGAAAAAAAACAACCCATTTATTTATTATTTATTGTTTTGTTTTGTTTTTCAAGATAAGGTCTCTCTGTGTAGCCCTGGCTGTCCTGGAACTCACTCTGTAGACCAGGCTGGCCTCGAATTCACAAAGATCCACCTTCCTCTGCCTCCCAAATGCTGGGATTAAAGGTGTGTGCCACTGTAGCTGGAGTTATCTCCAGTCCCAATGGGGCCTGCAGCCGCTCAGACCCAAGTAAACACACAGAGACTTATATTACTTATAAGCTGTATGGCCATGGCAGGCTTCTTGCTATCTAGTTCTCGTATCTTAAATTAACCCATTTCTATAAATCTATACCTTGCCATGTGGCTTGTGGCTTACCAGTATCCTCACATCGTACTTCTCATGGCAACAGCAGCTGGCAGCATCTCTTGACTTAGCCTTCCTGTTCCCAGCATTCTCCTCTCTGCTTGTCCCACCTATACTATACTTCCTGCCTGGCTACTGGCCAATCAGCATTTTATTTATCAACCAAATCAGAGCAACACATTCACAGCATACAGAGCAATTGATATCCACAGCATGCCACCATCAAAAACAAAACTTTATAACCAAGAAGGACAACTTGGCTGTGGAGTAAGACCAGAGCTGATAGTAAACCCTCCCCCCCTTGTTTTTAGATGGCTACAGTAAGATTTCTGCAAACCCGGTACAGATGTGCCTGGCCACCTAACTCAGAATGATAGCAAAAGGCACTGATCTAAAAGCAGTCAGCATGCTTACCCAGGCTCACTGGGATCAGACCGGACATTCTCCCTCAGGTTTGCCAGGCATTCACATTGACCTTGACTAAGCCCTTGGGCCTCTCTCAGTCAAGCATCCTCATTGGTAAAACAGAAGGCTGAACTATGTCCAAGGTCTTTTCCAGTTAAAATCTACAACTCCATATAATGTGTTTCCACAAAGTACAATTTATAATCTTATTTATATGAAACATAAACTTAGACTAGATCAAGATGAGATGGGTCAAGACATTTCTGACAACAGGAAAACAGCAGGGTCTTTAAAAACAACAACAAAAACAAACAAACAAAAACAGCCCTCTGCTGCCAGTCTGTAGCAGAGAACAGAACTCTGGTGTTGCCTTGCTTCAAATAAACATTACAAAAGCACCTTGATTACCCAGGCCTTACTGGGAATGGGTCTGAAGAGATGGCTCAGTGGTTAAGAGCACAGTACTCTCACACAGGATCCAAGTTCAGTTCCCAGCACCCACCCACATCAGAGGGCTCACAACCACCTGTAACTCCAGCTCCAGGAAATCCAGCTGCTGGCTTCCACAGGTACCTGCACTCACATGGCATTTACTCACACAAACATACACATCATTAAAAACAAAATAAAATTGTAAAGATATTTGGAACATTTTTCTTTTCTTGCCCAACCTTTTTTACATTTACTTGTTTGTTTGATGTGCGTGCATGCGTGTGTGTGCGTGTGCATGTGTGTGTGTACAACTTGGAGGACTTGGTGTTTTGGGGGGAATCAAACTGAGGTCCTCAGGCTTGACAGGAAGTCCCTTTAACCTGCTGAGCCATCTCACCAGCCCCACTTTTTCCTTCTAAATGTTTGTCCATCATCCAAGACAGATCCCAGCTCGCGTTGATCACATTCTGTTGACGGTCCCTCCCACAAACCTGCTACTAGAGCTTGGGTCAGGTTGTCCATGTCTATTTCTCCCGCTGCCGTGGAATGAATGGCATGACATGGCCATGGCCCTCTTGAACTTCCAACGGCTATGATTACCTGCATGAGACCTACACAAGACAGGCCTAATGATGTCCCACCATGGAATGCGGAGAAGATCACAAGCCCCCTCCCCCAGGATATGGAGACAGTTACTAGTGACATGGGAAGAGAAACACTCTCTTCAGTGGTATAGCTGCTTGTATGTTGTCCCTGGTACCATACATAGCAATAATTAAACTCGTTGGACCACCAAAGTAGACTTGAGTGGAATCTTTACTTTGTTCTGTCATTGGTGCCCTATCTGGGTGGAACAGATGTTTGTTTATGTCACCCCCCTCCCCCCCAAGACATGTTCATACAATGCCTGCTCAAACAAAACTTCACCGTCTCTGGGTACAGACGACCACCCAGCAGGGACATGGTCACCAATGAGTTTGCTTGATCCCCCAGGCATGAGGATGATGTGCAGCACTTCAAAGTCATGAGAGACAACAAGGGCAGTTACTTCCTGTGGACTGAGAAGTTCCCGTCCCTAAACAAGCTGGTGGACTACTACAGGACAGCTTCCATCTCCAAACAGAAGCAGATCTTCCTTCGAGATGGAACCAAAGAAGATCAGGTATGCCTCGGGTCCGGATGAACTCCAGGCCAGGGATTTCAGGTAGCCTGAATTCCTGTGTAAGCCACCAAAAAAAAAAAAAAGATATTCTGATCCGAAGTCAGATCTCAGGTTTAATCCAAGCTGAACACTTCCTAGCTGTGTGGCAACTTTGGAAGGTCCTCAGATCCTATTTCCTTAAGACAGCATAAATAGGGGGCTTTGAGTGTAAGAAAATCTAGTGTCCCCCAATCTCTTCCATCACCCCTAATCCCACTGCAAATACACTATACACGTTAGCTCACATTGGAGGTGCTGTTGTTCAGTTATGTGTGGATCTTACATCGCTGTTCTCAGCCCAGCTCAGGAGCCGCTCAAGGATCAGGGTGACAGACAGCAGTACTAGAGAGTAGCCTAGGGGTCAGGACTAAAGCACCAGGCAGTTTCCTGACGGCCTCGGGGAGTACAGGTACTGTGTAGGTTTAATCCCACTTCATTCCTGACTGCTTGTGTCACCTAGTCAAGTTCAGAACGCTTTTCTGAGGCCTGGAGAGGTGGCTCAGGAGTTAAACACATTTGCTGCTTTTCCAGAGGATGTGAGTTTAGTTCCCAGCCTCACATTAGAGCCTCACAACCACCAGTAATTCTAGGTCCAGTGGATCTGACGACCTCTTCAGACCTCCTTGGGCACCTGTACACACGTAGCATACATATACACAGGCATAGACCCCAAATAAAATACCTTTTTTCTCAAAGAGCATTTTCTGAAGCTGGGTATGGTAGCACATGACTGTACCCAGTACTTGGGAAGTAGAAGCAGGAAGATTGCAAGTTCAAGGCCAGCCTAGGCTACATAGTAAATGCCAGGACAGCTAGGGCAAGCAAGACACTGCCCTCAAATCCAATAACATGCAAACAATAAAAGGATGCTTCCTGAGTTTGTGTTTTCTCATCTTAGTATGAAAAGCATAATAGTCTCTCCCTCCCTCACTGGGCCTTTGTGAAGATTGAATATGGCATAGTCACAACCCCTACCACAGAATCTGGTCCACAGCAGGCAAGCACCAAAGACATGATAATCAGCCTTCCACAAGGGAACTCACACACATATGTACACATGTGTACGCATACAAAGTACAAACTATTTCTCAGGGAAAAGAACATGGTTCTAAGAGATAGGTGTAATAAGCCGGGTGGTGGTGGCTCACGCCTTTAGTCCCAGCTAGGGAGGCAGAGGCAGGCGGATCTCTGTGAGTTCGAGGCCAGCCTGGTCTACAGAGTGAGTTCCAGGACAGCCAGCACTGTCTTGGAACCCTGTCTTGAAAGAGAGAGAAGGAGACAGACAGACAGACAGACAGACAGACAGAGGCGTAATAAAGGAAAAAGCATCCACTAGCATAGCTGGAACCCCAGGGATAGGACACGTGTGCTTTGGGGGAGTAAACCCTCCCTTCCAAACCACAGCTGTTTTCAAGGCTGGGAAGCCACAATCATCAGAGAGGAGGGTGTTCCCATCCAGAGCACACAGAAGTTCAGAAAACAAAGGTCAACTGAGATCTTGTGGATTATTTTAACCAGGAAACGGACAGAAGTATTAACTCACTAGGATTCGGGGCTCCGAGATAAGAGAGGCAGTGGAAAGTTGTCGTTAAACCGGATTAAATGAGTTAATATTTGTACAGTGTTAGTATATACTGAGCCCAACTTTCGATGTAATTGTTCGTTCAATAAAAATAGCAATAAAGTATTTCTGATTCATGAGCTGTTACAATATGAAGCCGAGAGGCCTTGTTCCTTCCTGGTACAGGGGACACCAAGGCCTGTTTTCCATGGCTCTGCCAGAATGTTGCTGTCTTGGGTCCTTGTCACCAGGCTATAAATGACAGCTCCAAGCTATGCAAAGTCAAAAGCAGAGCTATCTGGAGGGTAGGGTGTCCAGCAGTTTGGCAACATGTGGATTGTTTATCTTGTGGTTAAATAATCCACAAGGTCTCGGTTGACCTTTGTTTTCCTTTCTGAACTTCCGGTGTGCTCTGGATGGGAACACACTCTGCTCTGATTATTGTAGCATCCCAGCCTTCAAATCAGCTGGGGGTTTGGAAGGGAGGGTTTACTTCCCCAGAGCCTACAGGTCCTTTTCAAATCACCTGTCCCTTTCTGCCTGAAAAGTAGAATATTTAAGCTTGATTACAAAGAGAAAAACAAACCCAGTAGGAATGGATTGAGTGGAGAGCACATGGAAATGGTTAGACCAAATAGAACTTGTCAACCAGAGGCCTGAACTCATGAACTAGGGAAGATTTGAGAATGCAGGGACCACTTTTGATCATGCGGAGGTCCAAACCTTAGATTTCCTTTAAGCCTTATCACCCCCACCCCCAGTTACTGTCAGGAGAGGGACAGGAACGGGGAGGCCCAGGGAAAGGGTGATTCTGGAGCCCCTGTTTTCTTTTCCAGGGTCACCGGGGCAACAGCCTGGATAGGAGGTCCCAGGGAGGCCCTCACCCAAGTGGAAATGTAGGAGAAGAAATCCGCCCTTTGATGAACCGGAAGCTGTCAGATAACCCTCCTCCCCGTCCCCAACAGTACCACCAGCACCAGCAGCCACCTCCTCAGTTCCCACCAGGGCCACAGCCCCCTCCACAGCGGTATCCGCAGCACCATCCTTTTCACCAGGTATCCGAAGAGAGGGAAGGGACAGAGCAAGGAGGGAGGGAGGACCTGCCCACCCCACGGCCCAGGCCTGGACCAGCCTCCTGAAAGATTCTGGGCCCTGTGATGGAAACCACCCACCCAAAACCCATATAGCTCCCAGACTGAAAACACACACACACACACACACACACACACACACACACACACACACACACACACACACAAACCCCAAAGACTAAGTCTGTCAGCAGAATTCCAATTCTTGCCCCTTAACCCATAAAAAGAAAAACGGATTAACACCTGCAGCAGCCTTGTTTACCTAACCCTGCCTGTTCCAGATGGGATTGCCACTGGATGGACAATACACTAAGATGACATTTGTCCTACATTCCTCCACAGGGCACAGGGTCCTGTGTGAGCTGCCTGTATCTGCTTCCCCAGGTCCATATTCTGCTACCAACCCCCACTACCATGCGAACAGATAATCCGGCAACTGGCACCACATTTTGTCATTGGCATGGCTCGGTGCATTTCCTCTCTTTTTGGCTTTTTGCAAGCTGTTCTGTCGGCCTGATGGAGCTTCCCTGGTCAGTCCCATTCCTCCTTCAAGCTGGAGCCCAGGCAACCCCTCTTTCCAGACTCCTTCCCTGATCGACCCCGGCATGCCTGGACACTTTTCCATCGGTTCACTTAGCACATTACAGTAGGTGGTTCTTCCTCTAAACTAGTACATTTTCCTAATTTTTTTTTTAACTAGGAAAAGAACCATACAAGCTAGGTGTGGTGGTGCATACCTATAACCCCAACATTTAGGAGACCGAGGCAGGTGGATTAAGAGCACATCTCTAGCCTGGGCTACATAGTGAATTCAAAGCCAGGCTGAGCTACAAAGCAAGACCCTGTCTCAAAAGTAAAAGAAAAAAATGGGGGAGTGGGCACGTAAAGAGATAGGTAAGGAGGAAAGTGTTTGTAGGCAAACGAGAGGGCCTGCAGTCAGATTCCCAGCACCCACATAAATGCCAGCATAGGGGAACGCGTCTTTAACCTCATTGCTGAAGCGAGTGAACAGCAGGTCCCAGGAGCTCATGGCCCTGCCAGTCTAGCTGAATCAGTGAGTCCCAGGGTCAGTAACATCCCTTCAGGTGGATGCAGAGTGACAGAGGAAGATGCCCAATGTCAACCTCAGGCCTCTACACTCACGCCGTCACGCTCTCACATGTATACACACAAATGATGACGACGACGACGATGATGATGATGATGATGATGATGATGATGATGATAACTGCGTTCCTGAGGCATGGGTACATGACTCCCAGATAGCTGCTATGTCACTGGATAAATGAAGCCCATCATCTTCTTTAGAATCTAAGGTCCCCTCAGATTCCCGCCTGTCCGTTTTCCAAGCTGAGGGGTGATGGTCAGCGGGTGTGAGTTCTTGGGTGTGAGTTCTGTCGACTGCACCCAAGCAAGGCACAGGGTTGGGGTTAGGTTGTGAGAGACGCCCCTGCTGATAACAGCCCTCTATTGCGTGTCTCCAGGACCGCCGTGGAGGCAGCCTAGACATAAATGACGGACACTGTGGCACTGGCAGCGAGATGAATGCCACCTTGATGCAACGGAGACATACGGACCCCGTGCAGCTCCAGGTGGCAGGGGTGAGTGAGTGGAGAGCACAAGGCAGCCTCTCGGGGGAGGGTTCAGCCTGGCTCAGCAGCTCATTCAGGCTGCTGTTTGCAATATGACTGTTGAGCTTTGCCCTGTTCTTGCTCTTCCGGTAGTGGGAGACGGGTGACCTTTGTCCCGGTGACCCAGTGCCCTTGGTCTCAGGACAGGCTCAGTGGTAGGGCACCTATCTTACATATGTGAGGTCCCAGTGTCCACAAAAGCAAAACAAGACCATATCAAAGCTGGTGAGTGTCCCAGTACCTTAGTGGCCAGGGCTGTGCATTCCAGGTCTGCTCTAAAGTGCTTCAAGATCAGCCTTCTGGAAGGTCCAGGGGACTCAGGATAGAGTCATGGTTCCGCTGTCTGACAGTTGCTCCCAAGGCCAGTCTTCCAAGCTCATCCGCATGTCTCTCGTTTCCCCTGTAGCGAGTGCGCTGGGCCCGGGCCCTGTATGACTTCGAGGCTCTGGAGGAGGATGAGCTGGGATTCCGAAGTGGAGAGGTGGTTGAAGTCCTGGACAGCTCTAACCCGTCTTGGTGGACCGGCCGTCTACACAACAAACTGGGTCTCTTCCCTGCCAACTATGTGGCTCCCATGATGCGATGAGTCCTGCTGGGAGGCTAGAAGCTTTTTGTCCGAAGCTGCCGGCCAGATAGGGACAAGGGAAAACAGCTGGACTTTATAACTATACATGCATGCATGTGATGTTCATGTATGCCCGTGCGTGCACAAAACATGTATGCCCATGTCTACACACAACATTTTATACTAGTAATTTATTGGCAGCTGGGTTGGTTCATTGACTGGCTTGAGAAGGAACTTGAGTGAAGAATGGGATGCTTTTCCGGCTCTTCTCTGTGTGAGAGGGCAGTAGGGAGCAGAGAGCAGGACAGGGAAATGGACTTCTCCCAATCCTTGAACTTTCACAGCTTCTTTCCTGGCTTGGGAAGTTTCCAAGAGAGCAAGCAGCTAGGCAGAGGTCACACCCCAGCGATGGACGCATAGGACGGGGCTGGGCTTGGCGAGGCATGTTAAGTAGCTCTCCTGGCGCCGTCCACCTACAGGGTAGGCTTCCCTCCTGTTCTCCACAAGGCAGGCACTGCGCCCTGAGAATTAAGGTATAGCAGATCCAGGGCCACGGGCACCAAGCAAGTCTGAGCAGGGAGTTGGCAAGGGTGTGGTCAGGAGTCTCAGCTTGGTGTGGGAGAGCCTTGCAAGCCTCAGGCCTAGTCAATGCCTGGCTGAAACTTTTACTCTCCACCAGTGACTGTCCCTTGGGTAATCCTGTTCCCCTGTGGCTGACAAGAGAGAGTGTCTCTAACATGGAGACACCACAGAGCCAATTGCTGGGGAGCATGGGGGTTCTCCACAGGCCCTTGTGGCTTGCTTGAATGTGACTTCTGTTTTCCCAACTGCAGAGAAAGCTGTAGCCTAGATTCTGCGAAGTGCTTGGAGAAGCCCTGGCTGAGGATGTGGGATGTGTCAGAAGCCTCATTTTGTGGTTACAAGGGTTGTCTCTGGGGCACGCCCTTGGGTTTTGCTCCTGATTTTCTGTGGTTGAGGGTATCTTTGCCAGTGGGCCAGAGGGAAGCCAAGAGCATTGACTGCAGATCAATAAACAGATTGACAGATTGACTCTAACCCTGGATCAAAGCCTCATGAAAATGAGTTTCCTCTTCCGTCTGCATGCTAGGCCACTGCGGGCCTCCCTCCACCTAGGAGGAGGAACTCCGCTGCCACTGTCCCTCTTTGTTGCTTCAAACTAGAATTGTGTGTCCTGGTCCTACCCTGAGGAATAAAGCACAGAGGAGGCTGGCTGAGGGGAGAGGACACTGGAGGGGAAGCTCGGTGCCTTTGTGAAGCCTGGCAACAAGCATGTCACAGCAGAAGGCCTTTACAAGTGTATCAGTGCGGTCACATGCGGATATGTGTGTGTTCTGAGATAGGAAAAGAAGCTCTGGGGTGGAAGTGGTGGTGGGGGTGTGTGGCAAGGGGCCCTGTCCCCTGTGTCCCCTCCTGCTTCAGGGAGGGACTGGAGGGCATCTGTTACTGAAGGCGATAAAAGAACAGTGTGACTCACAAGCCACAGCGGTGTGGCATACTCTCTGTCCCTTGTGACTCTGATTCAACAATTCTCTGATCCCCGGGTTCCCCTTAGAGAAAGAGAGGAAGAGAGAGAGACGAGGAGGGAAGAGAAAACAGCCTGGAAGGGCAGGGAAACAGAGCATGCATGAGGAGCAGCTGCAGCCTTGGGAAGCAAAAGCAGGGGAGGGGTCAGAAGATGGAGAGCAGAGGAGTGGCAGAGGGGAGGAGACAGGGAGAAGGGGGTCAGGTGGGACGGCGAGAGGAGGCATGGGCAGCTGGTATAGAAGGGAGGCCCCCTAATGCAGGTGGAAAAAGAAGGCATCAGAAGGGGCACAGAGCAGAGGCAGGCCCCAAGGAGGAAGAAGGAGAGTGGAAGCCGAAGCCAAGTGGGCCTGATCAGCAAGCTTGGTGGTGGGAGATGTGAAACATTACAGTAAATAAAAGCCAAAAGTGATGTTTGGTTTTACAGTATTTGCAAACCATATGCTTTCAACAGCCCACAAGCTTCATCCATTTGGCTGATTCCGTGGGAGGAGCAGCCCTGGCTGAGGCAGAGACTGACTAGCTTGGTTCTGGTCTAGATACTGTGCCTTGAAGCACTCTACAAGAAGACAGTAATGGTTTTGCCAGTCTGTGTCTGCTGTCTGTGTGGCCAGCCCGACTCCCTAGCTGGGAGTGGCAGAGGTGCTAGCCTGGAGAGACAGAGCCCCTAAAACCCCTGGGATGGGCATGCTGTTCTAGCAGCCACTGTGGGAGAAGGTAGGAGGAATTTTTATTGAGGTTCACTGCTGTGCCCATTAGCAGGGCACAATTCAGAAGGGAACAGAGAAGTCACCCAAACTACTAAGGGAGTACAGGTATGACTAGACCAAGAAGACCAGGGCCAAACTGTTCACTCGGGGCTCAAATCTCTTTGGCCCCTCTGTGGCTGCTTCCTGGGAGGTGGGAGAAGGGCATAAGGAGTCATACCTCCATTCCAATCCCTTCTCTGCTCTCCACATGCCAGCCTCTCAGAGCCAAGGGAGTGTATCTACCTAGTGTTTCTCACCATCTGCACAGGCAGCAGCCAACACATTGTCTCTGATTTTGGCCGCCACACCCTAGGTGACTTCGTGACATCTGAGCAGAGAAACTTCCAGAGGAAAAGCCAGTTCCTGTCGAACCAGTTGTGGTTTCCTCCCGACTTACTGGAAACTACTTCATTTCGAATATCCAGAAGCTGCCGTGGCCCACTCACTTTTAGATGGTCTCAGGGTGACTTAAGGAAATACTTCTCAAAATCTCCGGAATCTGAGCGTTGTCTAGGGGCCGTGTTAAAATGAGGGTTCTGACTCAGTCTTACATCTCTAACAAGCTCCCAGGTGCTTTTATCAGCAAGGGCATCAGCAGCCACACAAATCTAATTGGATTCTTTTTCCGGGGCTATTCAGTCACTGCTCTTTGTGGCTAACGAATAAGTCACTTTTTCTTTTTGACAGGCACGACTCATTACTGTCGTTAGGACATCATTTCTGTTCGGCAGCCCGGTGACTTACTCTTGCATCTTCATCAGGAATCAGAAATTTTCCAAGTGACAGGCGTCTGGCTGCGACGCGAACAGGAGTTCCCTAATAGAAACCACTTGAAACAAGAGCAGAGGCTGTGGAAGGTGCAGAAGCTTTCTCAGGAAATCCTTAAGGAGAAAAATCAATGTCCATCCCTTTTGGGCTATGGGCAAGGCAGGGCCATCACTAGATCTCAGCTAACAAACAGCCCACACAGGGGACAGACTGGCCTGGTCAAAATAATTGCAGGACGCTTTGTCTAGTTTCAACGTGTCTATCTGTAAGACAGGAGTGTCTACCACGGCAGTTCTTTAAAACAATTTTTTTTTTTTTAAATTTTTCGAGACAGGATTTCTCTGTGTAGCTTTGGCGCCTTTCCTGGAACTCACTTGGTAGCCCAGGCTGGCCTCGAACTCACAGAGATCCACCTGGCTCTGCCTCCTGAGTGCTGGGATTAAAGGCGTGCGCCACCACCGCCCGGCAAAACAATTTATTTTTGTTATTGTTTTTCAGGTCCTTCCACTTCATCTCCCTCCATGGTCTCCTTCTGTCTCCCATAGCAACGGCACCGTGCTCGGTTGCCCTGCATCCCCTCCTATCCCTGGTGTACTCTCCACACCGACACCAAGGCATCCTTTGGACAGACAAATCCGATCACACCACTTTTCTTCCCACGTGATCCTGCAAGATCTGGCGCCTGCGGGATCTCCTCTCTGACTTCCCGTTGTCTTCATGCCCTTCTCCATCCTCCTTCTTTCAGTTCCAGATGGTCAAGGACTCTTCCCAGGGTTTTCATAATTGTGGGTACCCCGTGGAACGCGTATCCTCTGTTTTCTGCTGTTCAGATCTGGGTTTACGCATCACTTCCTCTCAGAGCCCCCCCATCTGAAACAATATGTCCCTTTAGATTACCTCATGAGTCCCATGCTTTTCCTGAACAGCATGCACACAGATGGGGCACTAGAGTGAGTGGAGTGACTGTTGGGCTGTACGCTCCTTGGGGCAGGGATCATTGTGTTTTCTCGACCCTTGGATGCCCAGCATCTCACACTGTTCATGGTACATGGGGAGGAGTGTCAATTAATATGTGTCTAATGAATGATTTTGTGCTCCTCCAAGGTTAAAGCCTTCATCTTGGAGGGAAACTCTTTCAGGTATAGGATGAGAAGAGGGAGGTGAAACACTCTATCTTACCAGGAAGCTCATTAAGACAGGAAGTAAACAACTCAAAACAGGCTCAGGAAGTCCCTGAAACTGTCTAGATTAACTGGGCCCCTTTCTCCTCAATAGTATATAAGCAGTAAAGACTGTTAAGATGCTTAGAAGAGGCTCAAACAGAGCAGCCTGGGATAAGCAAAGACCAGTCAAGCGCCCTGAAAAAAAAGCAGACCAGTTGAACGGCTTGGAAGACCAATCGAGCCACTAGAAAGGACACTCCTCAACCTGTTGAGCTGCCTGCAGGTTGTGCAGTGAGCTCAAGGTTTCTAGTTTTTCATGAACTGTCACCCATGCTGGGGTGGGCTTTGGTGACACAGCTGTCTGTGAGTCATCTGCTCCTGTGAGTGACCCCTACCCGAACTCCTGTAAGTAATCTCAGTAAACCCATTGATTTACCACATTGGACTTCGGTGGCATCCATACTTTGGCCCATCACTGGTTCCCTGCCTGGGGGGAGTAGACATTTCTTCATGTCTTCCCAGGAATAGTCATTCAACGATGAACAAGTACCAGTTGCCCGAGTACCAGTTGCCCGATCTCGTCTGTTGATTCATCCCAAATGCCTCAAGCATTCCAGACCTACAGGTGTAAACAAGGGGATTTCCTCTGTGATGTTCACGGGACTGAAGCTTTTGCCACTGCCCTCAGATACTCCGCTGGGTATTTCTGGGAGTCCTGGTCTGTCTATCCACGTCCATTGTGCCACACACCCTCAATTCACTATGTTTTAGATTGCTCTGAGTCACATGTGTCGGCTGGTGAAATGATCTGATCCTTCAGGCTATGGAATCTGACCCGTGATCCATGTGGCAAGGAGAATGGGGAGGGGGTGGGCTGGAGAATGACCTGTGTCCAGTGCTAAAAATGTGTCACAGCTGGGCCCAGAGTCCCTCACGGTCTGCCATGAGCTCGGCTTGTCCCTTTTCACTTGAGCCCTCTCTCCATAAGACAAAATAGGAACGCCAGCCTTCCCCTCTCCATGTCGTCTCCTCTCTCTTTGGTGCACGTTTCTCCTTCAGATGAAGAGAACTGCACCACACTGCCACACTGCTTCATTTGGGCAGTAAATATCACGTAGGGACCATTGCATGGCACACCGTTCTGGCTTGGAGCTTGGCTACAATTAGGTGTTCAGATCAGCAAGTGTTTACATAGCACCTCTTACGGGCCTGATAAGATCAGTCACGAGGCTCCTCGCTCACATCTCCCTGCTCTGTCCAATCCATGCCTACACCCCAGCGGCTGCCTCCTCTTCCCTTCTTTCCCAGTGACTGCACTGGTCTCTGCGCTGGTTCCCCAGCTTCCTGTCTGACGGAGGCCCCCTTTGATCTAGCCTCCAATGGCTGCCAGACAGATCTTATGAACATGTAAAGCAGATGACATTAGGCTCTTATTCAGATCCTTCAGGGGCTCCCATAGCTCTCAGTTTCAAGTCCTTAGCATTCCACTCAAGGCATTTGTGATCTGCCTGCTGCATATTTGTTCAGTCACATCTCCAGTTTTCCTCGCCTGAGCCTTTTCAGTCGGCCCCGCTGTGGTCCCAGAGTGACTCATACGTCTCCACCACACACACCCCCACCTCCGGTTCCTTTTGTTTGGAATGCCTTTCTCCCAACTTCGTTGTTATTGTTTCTGCTTTTTAGACTAGAGTGATGTTAGATTAGTTCTGTGGCTGTTTTGTTCTGTGTGGTGGCTACTACCATGTGTAGCTTTTAAATACTTGGCTATTACTTTTTTTTTTTTCTTTTCTGAGACACCGTTTTTCTGTGTAGCCCTGGCTATCCT